GCCTCAGCTAGTAAGCTGCCGTCGTGTGTGTCAGTCCGTATTGATCGGCTTTCGTCTCTTCCACTTTTCTCTGAGATTCTTGTACGTGGCATCTAATTCGATATGCCTGTTGATGCATGACACTCTTGATACTGGGCACAATTTCGCATGGGACAAAACTCGCATCGTCGGAGTTTGCCCATCTAAAAAAGGCCGAGAGTTTCTTGAAGCCATGCACTCCGATGAGTCATGCATCAACAGGCATATCGAATTAGATGCCACGTACAAGAATCTCAGAGAAAAGTGGAAGAGACGAAAGCCGATCAATACGGACTGACACACACGACGGCAGCTTACTAGCTGAGGCACCAAATGAGTATTGATTTTGTAGCACGTTTGAAATTTTAATTGTTTTCAGCACATTTACTCTAGTCTGACGACGACACGTGGCACCGACGTCGAAAATTTACTCAATAAAGTTTTCTCCCTTTCCCAAAGAACGTTTTGATTTCAATTTATATTTCTTGGGATGCCTGCGTTCCAATTCATATATATATATATATATAAGATGGTAACGACAAAGACAAGTCGGTACCATCTTATCTATATCTACTACTAGTCGCTGTGCGACTGCCTGCGAGGGTTCTAGTATAAGCCCCAAGGCACAACGGAACGAACATGTTCCGTAACCTGATCGGTGAGCGCCCACTATCATAAATATATATAATCGTTTCTGTGTGTTAAACTTTGACTCTGAATAATCTACTAACTTATTTACTGCCCATAGTGAATAGAGCCAATATTTTTGCTGAAAATTTTGAACATACGATTTCAAAATAAAGCGAATTCCTCTCTCTCTCTGTACTGATATGTGTTTTAGTATATCTGAAAAATTCACTTTATCCAGTTGGGCAACGGCATAGAGAAGGACCCCACCTAACTGTCAGTAAGCTGTGGAGTTTGCCATACGTGCTTTATGGTAAAGAGAGTTTAATGAGTGAGGTAGCACGCTAGACAGTAAGCCGGCAAAAGGAAAGAAGACACAGAAATTACCTGGATTTATGTCGAAGGTCTTATCCTGCGCTATTGTACGACCACGGAAATAAGAGTAGCGATTAAACAATAATCAAAAATAAATCTCATAAAATAACGGATTTTGAGTCAGGGTGTGAGGTCGTGAGAAGTAATCGCTGTTGGCAGTGTAATTTCCGCAACAGCCTGCAAATGTATGCTAAGATAAAACGATACACAGTCTGCTGACAGTTAAAGGAGGTCCTTCTCTATACTGTCGCCTCCGATTGGTAAAAGTTTGGCGGCCTCGATGAGATCGAACCCATGGCAACAAAAGTAGGACTTGAGCACAACCAGTACTCTACGAAGCCAAACCGGGAGTCGTGAATTTAATACGGGCACAAAACAGTCCAAAGGCATGTTTTTAACAGCCACCCTTGAAGGAATACCGGTAAATCCATCAATAAAAGCAATATATTTACGGTAATTTTTCCATGCATTCAATGATTACAGGATAAAACAGCGTCCTCTTTTCAAAGCGAAGGTACATAGCCATAAATGGACATGAAACACTGCCTCTAACTGTACATAAAAAGAATTACTTTCATAATTTGCAGCAATTGTTTACCGGTTTGCCAAATACTAATCCACTTCAGTGCCAACCAATAAGGACAGCTCTCGGCAATTGCAGGTTTTGCGCGCAACAACCAGCGTGCCGCTCAGTATGCTGGATATCTAGTAATGTGTTTTTTAAATGCTACTTAACATCAACTGACTGATTCTACTTTTCCCATCAGCACAGACTGGAAATGTCTGCGCAGTTTTGACTGGCAACGAAGCAAACGTGGTGTCCGTGCGTCCAGCAAGGTAATTTTTTGGTTTTTCAGCGCGGAATTCGGTCTAGTGAAAACTTATTAATAAAATGTACTACTTTATTGTCCACTCTTTCGTTGCGATTTTTCTAATTCGAGTAATCTGTTTAAACCATCCTGGGATGCCCTAGTGTCAAATCACCAGATTTTCAAATTCGGGCGACCCCAGCTTAATCTAGTACTTAACCTTACGGTTACAAAACCTCTCTTTGCCGATTAAATGATAAAAGACCCTTTAGTACCAGTGTTTCGATAGTTTACTCTTGAACATAGCGCATAGCATTCGGTATATAATTCAGACCTAACTTTCATTTTCCGAGTACTGTCAGCATTGGTTCGTAAGTATGAACACTACGCAGGGGGCTACCTATTCTCCGATAAGAGGACGTGATGCAAAAGTGTAAACAAGGAACCGTTTGAAAAAACTTCGTTGGTTCGCTTGCTACTTATTTGGGTCGGAACTGATAAGTAGACATAAACAAGTACTTATCAGTTGGGTTTGGTTGAAGTCAGTTCATTTTCAAACGTGAAAGTACCAAAATCAAAGGACATTTCATAGTGACAAATTTGAGTAGGCAGACGGTTATAGCATGTCAGGTGACGAATTAAGAAGTTGAAAAACACCAACTAAACCATTTGTGGGACGCTGTCCTATACCGACAGCGTTTCCATAGTCGTTACCTGCCTAGTTTGACCACCACATTGCTCCTTAAACCCAAAACGTCAGTCTAGCTGGCTTCCCTTATACACGGTGCACTGCCAGCTTATGTTCACCCTCCTTATAGCCACCTTCTTTTCGGTGCCGTTCTAGACGGCTGTCTTATTTCGCCCGGGAGGACGAGAGAAATTCTCTCACCTTCCCTTTCCAATAATTAATATCTTGTTAAAAATGTTACTTAAAATAAATTAGTAATTCTGTCGGGAACATTAAAACTGTGGAGGGTGTTCATGCGCTTGCAAACGCCATTTGCGTAAATCGCAAACCACATATGTATTAACGTTGTTGCAGATTACACGACGTACTCCACACCTACCCCACTATATTACGAAATTCACCATGCCGTTTTGTCGAACCATGGGAAA